ATAAAGATAGCGCCTATTTTAAAATTTGTGTTTCATATTTTCAAAATGAAAACAAAAAGAGTTTTATATTTCGTGTTGTTATAAATATATGCAGTAGTGAAGATAATCAATGTACGCATTGCCTGAACCACATTTGTGTGGCCGTTAATATGTTTAAGATTTTTTAAATGAAAATTAAAAGAGGCAGTGTTCTATAACATATTTTGTTTTATTGTTGCCTAAAATATACATAACGAGATAACCAGAGTAGCCAGAGCGAGCTGAGGGACGCTATCAAGTATGCCGCTTTTCCATTTGCAGAATTAACGGACTTGCGTCCTCGGAAGTTCGTTGGTAGCCGCACTACCAAGGACGCAAGTCCGAAGTTTGCGGCCACAGTCATGTCCCTGTCTTGTCATGTGATTCCCTGTTCGTGTGATCCTGCCATGTATCTTGTCTTGTCATTGGTTAATTGTCTTGATTATGTTCACAGGTGTCCCTTGTCTTGTCATTTAGCCTTGCGTATTTAAAGTAGCCGTGTAATAAGTTGGATAATGTACATTCAGCCGGAATCTCAGAATAAACACCTTAGGTTTGATGCAAGACCAACCGGCTGGATGTACATTATCCCTTAATTAAAGGTGCAGTGTGTAGATTTTAGCGGCATCTAGCGGTTCGGTAGCGAGTTGCACTAAGGCAGGGGTCGGGAACCTTTTTTGACCAAAGAGCCATTTTTTCATTTTTGGTTAATGCATTTTTCCAAAAGAGCCACAGTAAAATAATTATATAATATTATTATTAAAGACGTGCTTTTTATCAATAATTTCAACAGCATTAGGCTAAAAACAAACAAATATTTAGCAAAGTTTCAATATTAATTGTGAAAGGCTTTCACTGTGAGGTTGAGTTATCAACTGATGAGCATAAATCCTCTCTGTCTGCCTGAGAGAGAGAGAGAGAGAGAGAGAGAGAGAGAGAGAGAGAGAGAGAGAGAGAGAGAGAGAGAGAGAGAGAGAGAGAGAGAGAGAGAGAGAGAGAGAGAGAGAGAGAGAGAGAGAGAGAGAGAGAGAGAGAGAGAGAGAGAGAGAGAGAGAGAGAGAGAGAGAGAGAGAGAACTTACATTTACTGTGTTTACGTGAATACTCGACTTGCCATTTTTATATATTTCTGTATTTATTTGGCCGTTTCGGTGCGCGACCGAAGACAAAGGCTATGCTTTTCTGTGTTGCGCGCGCACACAGCATCCTGCCAGTAATTCCGTTCTCTTTCGCGACTTATCGCACTTTTAATATTTCTTTTCAATATAAAGCACATACTTCTCTTTTTTTCATTCCTTCAATTTTTGATAGTAATAACTTAAAACAGAATCGTCAACTGAAATCTGCGTGGATTATCAAAAATACGACCCATTTGTCATAAAGGGTCTCAGCGGCAAAAGTGAAAGTATTAAAGTTTATGCTGATTTTCGCCATTATGCCTACCTTAAACAAGCTGCAGCTGCTTGAATCCCAATGCAGGAGCTGTAGGTTATCACAGAGACAAGTTGATTGCTCTGATGACTCGTAAAACTTTTGCCGGTACAACATGAATATACTTATTATCATAAACGTTTAACTAACTTCAGTAGACTGTGCTACAGGGGAATTGTAACTGGCAGATTTTTCTGCAGAGAGCCGATCTCTATTGATGTGTCTTTTTTTTTGTTTCGCTCGTTTGTTGGTAAAGGGTGAGAGACCTCGCGAGCCACATGATTTTTGCCAAAGAGCCAGGTATGGCTCGCGAGCCATAGGTTCCCGACCGCTGCACTAAGGGCTCAGCCCACTGCTCACCCCTCCCTTTCGAAGAAACTACGGTTGTAAAAACGGGACAAACATATCGTCGTCTGAGACATCAGAGAATAGCCAGAGTAAGCCAAGTTTCTGTACCACAGTCCATTCTAAACCACATCATGGATAAAGTTTACAAAGCCATAGTCAGGTGAGGATCAAGGGTCTTAATATATAGTATAATAATAGTAATCAGCTGATTGTCTCACAAATGTAACCAGCACATTTCTCCCCATGCACATAGCAAACCCATAATACAGCGAGGGAGAAGAACCACATGAAACCATCCAACTACATATTTTTTCTAACAGGGTAGTAAAAGTTTAGCTGGCTAATATGAGCTGTTATGCTGTAGGACTGTGGCTGAGCTGGTTAAAGCGTAAAGCCTTGTTTAAGCTCGACGCGTCCGCATGAGCGCAAAGGTGCGCGCGGCAAAAATGGCATGATTGTAACAGCGTGCGCGCCTCCGCATCCCCTAGACACCATTTACTACACACAAATTAATAAATAATAATGAATACAAATATTTAGTGATGCACCGATGTGAAAATTGTGGCCGATACCGATAACCGATATTAATATTGCTGTTATGGCCGATACAGATATTTACCGATGTCGATATCTCTGTATAGAAAACACATAGCGAGGATTAGGGCTGCCCGATATTGGTAAAAAATGACATTGATTGCGATATTTTATTTTTCTGCCATATATATAGCGATATAAAAACAATTTCACCAGATGACTTGAATAGCTCTATTTGGAAAGAATGGATCATTCTAGAATGACTGGGGTGGTTTTGTCATGGAGTAAATCCGCATAGAAACTAATATTAATAGAAGTTAGTACTTAGAAGTTAATATTAATAGTAGTTAACTAGACTTTAATAGTGACGAAACGCACTCTGTAGCGCCGCTTGTTCGCTGTCGGCTACGGTAGAAACATGACGTCACAATATGTCGACCTTCATAGAAGGGGGTGCCCGCGGTTATGTAGATATAAATGTCTCACTCTAAGGCAGGGTTGCCCAACCCTGCTCCTGCTGATCGACTGTCCTGCACAGTTCATCTCCAACCCAAATCAAATTTTCAAGTGATCCTGAAGACCTTAATTGGTTGCTTCAGGTGTGTTTGATTAGGGTTGGAGATAAACTGTGCAGGACAGTCGATCGGCAGGAGCAGGGTTGGGCACCCCTGTTCTAAGGTAATAAAAACATTACGGTTTATTAAGTAAGTTCTTTATACACCACTGAAAACATAGTTATGGATGTCATATTGCATTTCTGTTAATAGATACTCAAAATGATTACACATTGCACCTCTAAGTCCCATCAATGTCAATCCTCCTTTTGACAAGTTTGAACAATCATCCATTTGTTCTTATAAAAAACAATCTTTATTAATTTCTTAACACTGTTCCTCCTTAATAAAAGAATTTAAAAAAATCCCAAATATGTAAACAGACTGAAATTAGTGCGTTGCTTGCAGGAAGGCAACATTTACAAGCAAACCATTGATAAGAAAGGCTCATTTGCACGAAAAAAACAGTTAGAAACTCATATGAAGCCCCAGTCCAAGTGTCAGTAGTCTCAATACTTGCCAGTTTGCCATGGTCCAACTAGGAAACAAAATACTTCTGAAGGTTTTGATCCATTATTCTCCATGGTGATCATTATTAAAATTCAACAAATGTAATTGTTTTTAATAAAATCACCATAAATTGACGGCAGTAAAACAAATACCACCATAATTTGGGGGGATGAAAAAAACTTCAATTTGGTCTGTGGAAATAAAATCAAGTCACACATCCATTCTTTTAAATATAAACTGTCATTCAAGTTTTTTTATGAAAAGTTTATGAAACCGAAGACGCTTTAAGGCACCAAGAATAATTACAATATATTAAATGCAAATTTGCAGGAAGAACAAAATTATAAGAATTCTATAGTTTCTTATGCACATTAATCAGAGTTATAGGTCATTGAGATTGTAAATTACAAATTAAAGAGTGAACAAGTGATCTAACGTGGTAGTTTTAACATATCAGTGCAAACTTAGCACATGATAGCGACCCTGACCACTCACAAACACACTAGTAGCATTAGTATCTATCAATCAATATTATTACTGTTCCATTTCGTAAAAAAAAAAAAAAAAAAAAGCCATCTATAGTGCTAATCCCAGTGCTTCTACACACAGTTTCTCATCACAAGATGATGTTATTAAAAGAGTTAAGTGGGCAATATACCCACAATCTTATAAACGCTCACTATTACAATTTTACAGTGCATCCTGGGTGGCTCTTCCTAAAATGAAGGACAAGAGTGAATCTCATGAAACCCGTCCTCATGAACCTCAAGAAACACAAAACAAGGGGAAAATATTGTATCGTAATTATCATATTAGTAGTATAGTCTTCATTTTTAATTTAAGTACTTTTATTACAATATTTGTTTAATGTAATATGGCTAAAACATATTAATGAAAATGATCATTTGTGTTAATTCTCATTGAAAAAAAAAACTTGTTAATGGGGAAAAAAGTGCTTAATTGAGAAGAAAATATTTTACAATACAACCCTACAGAGATTCACCCACAAAGACCAATGTAGACAGACTGTGTCAAATAATTATTTTCTCTATGGCTTTGTGGTCTGTGAAGCATGCTGATTCACCCTTAAGTGTTCTGTACAAAATGGAATTGTACAAATCTATTGTTCAGAAATCTATAATAATAAAGATATCAGTCAAAATACTAGTATAACTATTAATTGCAATTTTTTTTGCAGTGAAGTTGAGTGATGCTACTTTAAATGCCAGGCCACTGCTAACGAAATCATTAATGAATCGCAAAACAACTGACAAAAAAATATAATATCAAAAATCTGTTAATTATAAAAATATATATTTTATAATATATATATATATATAAATTGTATGTATATAATATCATGTAAAGTATATTTGTAGTACAGATCAAGTATTTACTATACTGAATTGAACTTATGTAATGATAATACGATTCTTCCACATTACGGTAATGGGAATTGTGGGGTGAAAGTGCTTAATTGTACTGAAAATAATATTACTAAAAATGGGTGAAATATAATTTCTTATTTTAGGGACGAAATATGAAGCAGATTTTTTTCATGACATTCACCAAGATTTTTTTTTTTTTTTTTTAAATAGCACATAAATCCAATCTCTGATCTCCATAACAGAGTTTATTGCTTATTGACCGCACTGCTCTTCTGTCAAAGTTCACCTCTGAGTCGGGTGTGCAGATCCTCCTGGTCGATTTTGCCCGTCTGCTGGAACCAGCGGTGGTGGGCGAGCAGGGCCAGATTACGGCCCGAAATGGCGCTCATCTCCATGGCACTGGCCGCCCACTCCACGGCGTTGAGGTAGTAGAGGCGCTCGTGGAGGATGAAGGGAGGCGTCCTGCGGTGCGGCGGGCTGTAGGAGGGGTACGCGAGCCAACGCTTCTCCGACACAGAGTCCCAGGACAGGAAGATTTGCTGCAGATGCCGCTGAGAAAGAGGCTGGGACGAGAAGATCTTCCAAACTTTGCTTTGGCTGGCAGGGCTTGGGCTGTAGCCCTTGGGAATCTTCACCGGGCTCAGAGAGCTCAGGCTCAGGATGTCGGCGGCTTTGTTATCCAGCGTGAGGACATCGGATACGAAGAAGTCTTCCGGCTTGTCTGTGGTGCCCAGAAAGGACACATTGAGCAGGCCGTGGACCAGCGTGGCCACCGTTTGGTGGTAACGGCCGGGGAAGTGGGATGGAATGGGTGGAGAAAAGCCTGAGAAGTTGATCTCAGACATGCCCTGGTGGAGAGGTGTGGCGACTACAACTATGTCGTACATGGAGTGGGCGGCACCAGACTCACCAACGTAGTTCACCTCATAGAAATTTGTGACTGAACCTGAAAGGCAACAAAAAAAAAAAGGGTAAATATGATTAGACTGTAGAGACACATTACCATTCAAAAGATTTCAACTTTTTTTTTGTCTCTTATGCTCAACAATGCTGAATATATATATGATCAAAAATACAGTAGCAGTAATACTAAGAAATATTATCACAATATGTTTTAAAGTAATGTCACACGATTCTTTAGAAATCATTCTAATATTCTGATTTGATGCTCAAGAAACATTTCTTATAGTCAATATTGAAAACAATTGTGTACATTTTTTTTCGGATTCTTTGATCAATAGAAAGTGCAAAAGAACAGCATTTATCTGAAATAGAATCTTTTGAAACATTACAAATGTCTTTACTGTCACTTTAGGTCAGTTTAATGTATCCTTGCTAAATAAATGTGTTAATTTCTTTGGAAAAAAAAATCGTACTGACCCCAAACGGTAGTGTACATAGTATATAAAAAGATTTACTATAAGGTTCATAGTGGACTGTACCAATTTTGGATGGTCTCATCTTTATGGAGATGGCAGTCACACGAGCTGGAACAAGCTCAGCTTTGCTGTGGTACAAAAGCCCGGAACAAACCAACTTATTCCCTCCATCCACTGCCCACAAACCTGACTCGGCTCCTGCTAGTGCAACAGCGCCTACAAAAGGAATACGCCGTATTCACACACTTATGTATGTATTAAATCAGTGTTTCCCAAATAAATGCTTTTGCTGTAGGACCAGATTACACATTAGACAACAAGATTATACATCAGATTACACAGATATCAAGTGTTGACCCAAAGCAACAACACATTTGTGGTACAAAACTAAAAATGCAAACTTTGCTGTTACACAATTACAGCACATGGTCTCTATGGCATTAGAGAATATGACAAATAATAGTGTGTACATGATTAAGAAAAGGCAAAAAAATCAGTTTTTTTTTTTTTTAAATGTATGCTTTGGTTTTTTACATTTTTAAATGTATGTCGGTTTCAAACTTTAGGAAAAAAGTAAAAATTAATAAAAGGATAAATATAATGACTAAAAATGTCATGTGGTATAACCAAATAATAACATATTTTCCTTACACTGCGAATACTTGTGAGTGTACACACCTTAATCATTATTTTCAGAAAAGTTTGAAATACATTTTTCAATGTAAAAAGTATATTTTTATTAGAAATATAATGAATCATAAATTTGTAAATCTCGTTAAGTTTTTGCGGAGTCGCACCACATGACATTCTTTAACCTGAACTAACTTGTCATAAAAAGGTCAAATTATCTGATATTTTAAGAGATAAACTGACCTTGACAAACAGTCATGATATGATTTCCTTGCATATTTGCACACTGGTTGCACCAGATGATTTTGATTTGGTTCAAACATTCCGAGTATTATAAATATTTTAAGGCAGCGGCTATTTAAACGGTTTTAAATAGCAATAGATTTCTATTTACACACAAAAAATAAATTGTGTTATATCCCCATTTGTTATTAATGCTGAAAGGTCACAAACATCCTTTATAGTATAAACATACCTGCAAATCCATTGATTCGGACACTTTGGCCGTAGTTGACTCGTGTGATGGGCGCTACCATGTCATTGAGAAAGACCTGAGAGAAGCCCTCGGCCAGCATGGCCTCCTCCAGCGTCTGATTGACCAGAGTGAGGAAACCGTCTCCACCCATGGCATGCAGCAGCTTCTCCACGCTGGAGAACGAGTAGCCAAACTGCTGGTACTGATATATCCTACACAGAGGACAGAAAGCGACAATAAAAGGAACTTAAGAACTTACTGGTCATAATCATTCTATACCTCGCTAGATAAATAAAGGCAACAAGACAGACAAACCTCATAAACTTATCCAGTATGCCCTCCACCCACATATTCATTCGAACAAATTGGAATCCATATCTCCAAAGCATGCGTATGAAATTCACGATGAACCAGTCGCTCTCTTCAAAGGTCAGCTCCTTCCCGTCAAATATCGCCAGTTTAGAAGATACATCAGCACGAGGTGACATACCTGATCAAAGAAAAGGACATAAGATAGGGCTTTTCACACTTAACCCGGGTTGTCGTCGCTCTAAACCCTGCTTTTAACCCCAGGTAAAGGTTCACACTTGTAATTTAAAAGCAACAGACAGCGAATCACATGCCTCAAATGTCTGTGCTTTGGACAGTCACGGAAACACTGCATGTTGTATAAACAGCCGTTTCAGTGTCAAATGGTAGCAGGAAATGTGTCAGTTGGTGTAAAGAAGGTTTTGATTCGTAATACTCGATAGCACAGTCGGCAATGTATAAAATTAGATTTTATATAAACCGATGCTGTGCTCGTCCAATCAGTGACACTTTGAGCAGCGTGAAGCAAGATAACCCAGAAAACCCAGTTTACTCTGGGCTTACAATGACCAAGGGTAAATTATTTCAAGTGTGAAAAGCCCTGAAGTGACACACTTTAGTTTTCCAGATTAAACTGAAAATATCCAGTTGTTTCGTAGAAGAACATCATAAGATTTCTTTAAACAGAAAGATCTTGAGGGAAGTGGACACTGACCGAGTCTGTCCAGAATGTACTTCATGTGCAGGTTAAGGGGGTGAATAATGGATCCCCCCGTCTCATACTCGTATCCTCCAATGTTCTCAGTGGCCAGACGCCCTCCGACAGTTCCCGGCTCGAATAATTCGATCTTCACTCCCGGCCCAAACTCTTGTCTTAAGAAGAACGCTGCTGCCGTGCCTCCAATACCACCCCCGATTATTGCTGAAGAAGAAACGAACTCTTAATCCATCAGATCCCACCAAACACTCCCATTAACCCTATAAAGTCTACAGTCTCATATCTCATACATGCATTTCTAAAGCCTATAAATTAACAACATGAGAAAAACTTTGCTGAAAAACCTGTTGTACACAATTTACTACATGCATTTTCATTTACATGCACTATTCAGAATTCAAATGATTTTAGCAAGTTAAAGGCATTTTAGTGTAATTGTCTTTTTGCTGTGAAATCTTTTTTTTTTTTAAAGATCAAGTAAAAAGAATAATTTTATATTGCTATTAATATTTCAAGATGAACACTTACTGGACTGAAGCAACTGAGGTTTATTTGATTATCCATACGTATTTTCTTAGAAAAATCACATTAAAATGTGAGTATCAAATATGATACATCAGGCTTTTGAAGAACGTGTATTAATATATCTCTCAATCATCATTGTTTTGCATTGCATTATGTTTTCGCCCCACAAAACAATTGAATTATGTAAATATCATCTTACTAAGACATCATTATAAGATATATAGAGTGAAAACTAAAATGTATGTGCATTTTATGCAAGTAGTCTGCTATACTGGTTTTACAAGCTATATACATTTTGGCCATATAAATAACATATGCACAAAATAGCAGAATTTTGCTCAGTTTGGACTGAATTTCTGAATAAAACAGGTGTTTTTCTCCTCCTCAAGTGTGACCTCAATATTTCTCACTATATCATCCTATATGAGCTATAAAAGCCTGGTATATCAAATATGATACAAACTCTAAAAACACATATGCAAACTTTTTGTCTTTAGATTTAGGCTAAAGGTTCAATAAACTGTTCCATTTAAAAATGGAGTTTTCTGACGTATTTCATTGTAGGTCTTTAAAGGGTTAAAAAGACTTATACTAAAATAAATGAATGATGTGAATTTGACCATACCGATTTTCTTGGGTGGCTCCCTGACTTCAGGAGCAGAGGCAAAACCCCTGCGTCCTACTTGACAAAGCCCAATGAAGAGGAGAGCCTTCACCGACAGGTGTCTCAGAGCCATTCTGGGGATTTAGTGTTCCACAAATAATAACATCTGAAAAAGAAATGGCAAGAAAATAGGTAAACAAGGCATTTACATGAAATCTTAAGGAGAGCTGTCAATCAATACATATATGAAAACAATAACTATCTAATAACTTAGATAATTTGTAAAGAAATGTTTTACTAGTTAATTGAAAAAGTAATCTGATTACGTACCTCGCGTTACTTTTAATGCGTTACCCCCAACACTGAGAAACAGTAAAATATTTCATTCTCGTTCTTTTCGTTTCGTCCATTTTTAAGGAATCATTGAACTTTTTTTACAGTCTATGATTGACACACGCGCCTTTAAGACTATTTTCACCTGTGAAATCGCGAGAATCTTGCGTTCAGGTCAGTCGCGTTGAACTCCGTCAGTTCTTGAACACAATTGGGTAACGTTAAGCCCAATTTACTATTTTGACAGTCTGCTAATAATGTAAGCTGCAATAAAAATGTAAATCTTTAATCAATAGCATTGATAAAAACTGCTGTAAGTTAGACAGAGAGGACAAAGTACAGTTAAGTATAATCGATTCAAAACAAATTAGTTAAAGAAGTTAAACTACTTAAAACGTTCATGCCGACATTGTCATGCATGTTACGTCCAAGTTTACACAACTGTCAAAACACCATACATCTCACCTCTGTAAATCTCGCTTTGAAAAGTTAAAATAATAAAGTGCGTGAAATCCAGCAGCTGCAGATTTGTCCTTTGAAAAAAGAAGTACGGAACCGGATAGGACCAGGGATAGGACGCACCATGGCGGAAGTGGCGTGTTTCTAGTGACAGCATGCTTGGTTGTAGTAGGAGGTGACCTTACTGTAGTATTATTGAAGCATTTTGGTTTCAGTTCAAACAGATGCATTTGTAAGGATTCAGTAATGGTTTCCAGGAGTTGTTAGTAAAACGTGCCTGTTGTGATTCATGGCTTTATAGAGTCGCTGGTTAAAGAAGAACTGAAGCAGTGGATGTGAGATCGGGAATGGCAGAGGCTCAGCAGGCGCGCGTGCAGAAGGCAGTGGAGGACATGGTTCAGAGTCTCGAGAGAGAGCACATCCGGAAGATGCAGGTGAGGAGGAGGAGGATGAGGAGGAGGATGACCTTCAGATTCTCTGTGAGACATGAAATCAGAAGTAACTGATCTGACGGATAAGAGGCTGATACGAGAACACTGTTGCTCCTTGTGGCTCAACATTCATTTCAGGGGGTTTTTATGCTATGAATAGGAATGAGTTATTCATTGTTCAGCAATATTGTTAAATATTATTCCAATTTAATATAACCGTTTTCTATTTTATTTGATTATATTTTACTGTAAGCAGCCATTTCCAGTATCATTACTCAGTGTCACATGATCCTTCAGAAATCATTCTAATATGATGTTTTGATGCTCAAGAAACATTTATTATAATTATCAATGTTGAAAACAGTTTTTGCTGTTTAATATTTTTGGGGAAACCATAATGCATTTTTTTCAGGATTCTTTGATCAATCTTTACTGCCACTTTTGATTAGTTTAATGCTTCACTGCTGAATAAAGATATTAATATCTTTCTTTCTTTTTTTAATCATATATTTTCACACATTAAAAGTTTGGGGTCAGTAAGATGGTTTTGTAATTATTATTATTATTAAAGAAATGAAAGCGGTGCCATCACAGGTTATTTGAGCTTGTACAGCACTTTGGTCAGTCCTGTGGCTGTTTTAAACGTGCTTTATAAATATAAGAACTGAACTGAACACAGGAATAAATAAACAATTATTTTAAATCAAAATAATATTTCACAATATTTCAGTTGAATGTATTTTTGATTAAATAAATACAGCCTTGGTGAGCATAAGAGACTTCTCATATTATGAAAAAAATCATACCAACCCCAAACTTTTTAACAAAAAAAGTTGTTAACTTTTTTTAATAGTCAATTACATAATTATATACATGTACATTATTTATATACAATGGATTATACAAAAAATATATATAATGTTATTAATTATAATTTACATTTTTATGTAATATTCAAAAAAATCATTCAGTATTTTTTGTTACATTTGGTTTCTGTTAATATGAAGTAATAAAACTGCATATAACTAATTTGATACAAGACTGTTTTGAGATGTTTAAGCATAGTTTGTCATTGATTCTGTTTTTTTCATTCCCTCCTGATTTTATATAGTGATTAGAAGTCTTTTAATATCTGAAATATAGTCTTTGACCACTTATTAGTCAGAGGTTGATGAAGGGAACGGCTGCTAACACTGAAATGTGCTCTCAGGGCCGCATGTTCCACTGCAGTGCCGAGTGTTGTGAGCGTCCCGGCGAGTCCATGAACCAGGTGCACCAGTGTATTGAGCGCTGCCACACACCGCTGGCTAAAGCTCAGGGACTGGTCACTAGTGAGCTCGAGCAGTTTCAGGTCAGTCGCTCTGTGAGATCATTTACTCTTAATCTTCCTGCTGGAAGAGCGTGATGAGGAAGAACTCTTGATTCACCCACAGGATCGTCTCTCGAGGTGTACGATGCACTGTAACGATAAAGCCAAGGACCTGTTTGACTCCGGGGCGAAGGAGCCTGCTGTGCGGGCGCTGATGGACAGCTGTGTGAGCAGCTGTGTGGACGAGCACCTGAACCTGCTGCCCAGTGTGACCCGCAGACTGAAGGACAGCTTGAACTCAATACCTCAGTGAAGATCAGGCTGTAGGAAATCATCCTCGTGAACTCACCGGTTTACTGGGAAGATTTGCTTTTCGATTTGTGAGTGTTGATTACTGTCTGTATTGTTTGTGGCTTTTGTACAGGCAATAAATGTGACGAAATCCACTTGCTGTCTGTTGAATGTGTCCCAGGGAAACAGAAAAAAAAAAAAAAATTGATGAAAGAATTGTTGTATTGTTGAATTATTTTTCATTATAATTAAAAATATTTGTAGTAAATGTTTATTATAATTAAATTCAAGGCGTTGTGTTTTATATAACATGCATAAATATGTATGTATGTATATATATATATATATATACATACATAGCATGCTACTATATATGTAGCATACATTGTTGTTATATATATATTTGTGTATATAATTTATATTAATAAATAACACTTTTGAATTGAATTTTTTAATTATGAAAATAAGATGTGTATTATTCACACACACACACACACACATATATAAACTTAAGCAGATATAATGTATATATTTTATTTATATGTATGTTATATATAAACTTAAGCAGATATAATGTATATATTTTATTTATATGTATGTTATATAAAATATAAGTTTTTGTTTTTAATTATACTCTTAAAATAAATGTAAAACAAATATTTTTAATTATAATCAAATACTTCACAAAATGGTAGTATTAATCATTCTAAATATATATATTTTATTATAATTAAAAATAACTTTTTTTACAACATACATAAAATATTTACAATATATATATATATATAAATAGTTATAAAATCTTTATATATAGCTATAAAGCGTATATATATATACACATTTATAAAATTACACATCTTTGTGCTATTAACTGTTGTAAATTAAGTGTATAATAATTAAAATCATTGAAAATGTTCTAGGCCAGATTTATTACTGCACAGAAGTGAGAATGAGATGGTTTTCATACTGGATAAAAAGTGAACAATTTCTTCTGTCAGTGCTGTTTTAATGTACATCTTAGAAGAATTATCATATGATGCTTTGGTCCAACAATATTTACATTTAACCAAAAACACACTGTGTATAAACTTTCATTGGACACTTGTGGAAGTCACTTGAAATGCCCTGCTGGTAAACCAACACATGCCTGTTCAACCTTCACTGATCCTACATCGGCATGCATTGACAAAAACAACAACTTCTATCATGTTAGCACCAATTTCAAACGGTTGTAACAGTACAGAACCAATATTCAGTCCTTTTTCTCCTTTTGTTTTGTAACGAAAAAAATGTGGGGATGCCTGACCAATTAACAACCAGCCTAACAATAACAATGAGAAATGTTTAAATATAGGACAACTTCCAACAAATAATTTACAAACAGAATCAAATGGGCAGAAAGTGAAGAACAGGATCAAGAGCACTCACTCTTAGCTCTGATACTGACATAGTAAATTATTTAAAAGGCACCTGACTATTTACAAATTAAGGATACAAATAAAATGAAATAATATACATGAGGCCAACAGAACATAAATAATAAAAAGGGTCTGGATTACAGGCTGGACTGGTTTATGTGGTGTTGGGTCACGACACACTGCGTGCGCTGCTGCTCTCTGGCTCTGGTGTGTCGCCTCTCCTCTCACTGGACGGAGAAGTGTAGAGGAAGTTACAGCACACATACAGAGGGAAAGACAAGAGCCGGCTGTCCAGGTTCATCACCACATATTCCTGTCAATGTGACACAGAAGTGCTTCGGTCAAGTCAAGTAACTGGAAACAAAATGATTTTATATTTGACATTATGATGACAGAATACCTGGTCCTTTTCAAGGGTAACAAGCTGGTAGCCAGTTGACCGGCTGCAAACCACTTTCCCACTGCTATCAAAGGAAGCAAGGCGCAATCTGAAAAATAAAGAAATAATAATAATCAAATTGTTAAAGGGGTCATATAATGGTACATGCACTTTTACAAGTTGATTGTACTGAAATGTGTGTTGGCAGTGTCTGTACACAACCATCATAAAATTATAAAAATCCATCCAGTGTTTTTGTTTTAATCTCCTTATATGTTTTCCCCTGCCTCAAATTGAGCCGTTCGATTTTGTGACGTCACACGCTCGGAAGCCCCTCCCACGATTGTTGATTGACAGCAGCGTTTCAACACAGACCCGACCTCGCTTGTGAGCGAGCTGTCAATCATAGTCCGCGCGGACCGGCGCGGTCATTGTTGATATGCTGGAGCACTGTCTATGAGCAGAATGGCGTCTAAGCGATTGGTGTTCTGTTCTTGGGTGCAATAACGAACACAGCAGTAATTTTAATGTTCCTAAATCCGAACCGCTGAAGACGCAGTGGCTGAGTTTGTTTTCGAAGGGAATATTCCCCACGAGCAACGTCATTGCTCTCATGTTTGCGCGAATCATTTCTCAGCAGACTGCTTTATAAACGAGGGTCAGTATAAAGCTGGTTTTGCTAAGAAGCTGCTCATGAATAAAGGATCGGTACCAGATATTCGTGTTCCTGCTGAACCTCTAGAACAACTGAAGTGAGTGTAACGTTTTATTAAACTTTATAATAATATTTATATTAATCTTTGCAAATCGCTTGCACGCTTCACGATGAATGTGTCGGTTTACACTCAGGGTACATTACGGCATGTTTTCTATGTACAACGTTCTCAATATAATTCATAATCCCACGTTTATACTGAACAACGCGTTATGGTTATTGTGTTATCGAGTTACAAATGGTGTATGCACAAAAATGGCATTATATGACCCCTTTTAATACTAAACTAAAAATTATGTTTGATATTTCTAAAAATGTATTATAATTTATTTAAATATTAAATTTAATTAAATAATTTTCTAAGTAACTGAAATTATGAATTATATAATATTAATTTGAAAAAAATGCTTGCTTAAATACCATATTAAAAACTGATTTAAAAATACATTTAATATTTTTTACTATTATTTAATATATAATTTATTATTAAATGAGTTACTAAATAATTAATTAATTATAAAGTAATTGAAATTATAAGCATATACATATATTCATTTTTAATAACATTAATTATTTTCTATAAATTTACGTTTTCTAGTAGCCTGGTTAAAACCAGACCATTCTCATTTTGTAACTTAGTTATGGTCTGGCAAAGCGTCATAGACAAATCATTTCCAGAGGGGCGTCACCAACGGACGTCGCGGATAGACCTAAAACCAATCAGAGCGATGAAGGAGATGACGTATGCAGAGCGGCGGAGAAACATCTCAGAGTGTTGTTCTTTGCTCGGTTTTTAACAAAAAGAAAACGTTCAAATCGCTTAAAACAGACGCGATAGCTGATTCGAACGAGTGATGTTCGACGGCGGCATCCATCTTTGTAATGTAGGCTACAAAATCTGCTTCAAAATCCCAGCGCTGTCGTCTTCGTGTAAAGCCCGCCCCAACGTTTCTGATTGGTGCCTCGATTTCGACGGATTGGAAATGAGCTTGAATGAGCTCTTTGCCAGACTAACCTTTAGAGCAAATCTAAATTTGCCAGAAGTTGTCTGGGTTTTCCCAGGCTAGTTTTCTAGATAAATAGACAATTTTATTACTAAGAAACAATGTCCATATATGCACAGTATGTACAAACATATACACATTTTACAAGCAAACATAATTATTATTTGTAGTTTAGACAGTCTGTAGGAAGATGTATAAGATAAATTGCTATATTATAATACTCATTCCTTCATAATGTAATGCAATGTAATATAATAAGAGAAAAATAACCAGGGGCCGTATTCACAAAGAATTTTAAGGCTAAAAGTAGCTCCTAACTGGCGAATTTAGGAGCAACTCCTAAAAATAATGGGCGTGTCACTCCTGAATTTAGGACTCCTAATTTTTTTCACTAAGAGTAATTCACGAAGCATTTTAGCCCTAAAAGTAGCACCTAAGTCTGGGACAGCTTAAAAGAAGTCGAGAGGACTCCTAACTCACTAAGACCTATTCACAAAGGATCGTAGCGCACACCAGCGCCTCTCGCAGTCGCCCGGGGTCCGCGACACAAGCGGGAATGCTGCATTGATCTGCAAACAAATCATCTCCCATTCTCACGCTTAGTTTTGCTTGATATCCCAGTGCCGAATTTCACTTTTATTATGTTTTTTTTTTTTTTTTCAGCACCAACTGAGCCAGCAGCAGTAACTGATCCTGTGTCCAGTTGGGCTTTCTTTTACGTTTTGGCGACTTCATAATCCACTGTCATTCAACTATTACATTACTTCAATAAGAGCAACATTTCCTTGCTTTAAGTAGTCTATTTAGGCTAATAGGATGTCAATTAACCAAGCAAGTGTTAATGCAAGTGTTGTTTTTCATTATTAGGCAAGTGGAGGTCATTAGGGTATTAGGCTACCTTGATTTAATTTATTTTAATTCACGACTTTTCTCTCTCTCTGCCTTTTTAGAATTACACTTCACTGGGGCCTGCACAAACATGTCATTATATATGCATTTCGATGACATTACTATTATTATTTTGTGTAGGACACAGACATATTTAGATGTCGTAATTCCATGATTTGTTGCGTCTGTGTTATGCTCCGCATGATGGCCCTGTCATCTAACAACCAATCACCGTGATCATTGCGAGGAAGCTCGTGCCTGAGAAGTGACGTCATCCATAGCAACGAAGACTCACTCTTAGTTTAGGAGTTGTCATTTTTCCTTACTAAGAGTAGGTCTGAAAGGCGCTGTGAATAACTTTTAAGAGAAAACTCCTAGCTAAAATATTTTAGTGCGATTTAGGAGTACTCCTAGTGGTAAGATAAAATTCTTTGTGAATACGGCCCCAGATGTGTAACAGCTCACCGGTACGCAAGGTGGCGTCGTGGCTGTAAGCTGACAGCGCCCCCACATGGCTGGCTGAGGGTGTTTCTCTTAAAGATTATGAAGCGATTTGTGTAAGTCACCAGCAGGTCAAAACCATAATTGAACCCCGTCCATCGCCAACAGTACTGTAGAGACAACAAAAATACATACATGTTATTCAAAACAAAAATATGCAATATATTGTATAGCAAGAGTTCAACTCACATCTCCATCTTTGGTCAGTTTTCGTCCACAGCGCATGCTGTTCAGCTCAAACTCCTCTTTATTGGCCTCTTGTGGTCTGTAACGATCACATTCACTCATTTGCAATTCAAACCACATGTTTAATGTGTAGCAGTGCAGGTGTCGGACGTTCTCTCACCCGTTATCATTATCATGTTCTGTCCTCAGCATGGCGAACCACTGCTGTTTGTACACGCTGCTCAGCCACTCTGATACACACACAAGAGGAAGTTGGGTTAATATATATATGCACCTCGGATAACAATGGACCGTTTCAGGACAAGATGATGCATGCTGAACAGAAAAATAGCAAAAGCTTTCTCAAAGATATTTAATCTGACTGGATTCATGCAAGTTCTGGAAGTCACGAGTGCAGCAGGAGAGTCACCGGGCGGTAGGATGTTGTCCCGTTCCAGCATGCGGGCGGAGGCCAGGTCATTAATGATGTACTGGAGGCGGATGAGTCGGAAAACGGGCACGAAGGGCATCCCGTCATCTGAGTTCAGAAAGGGCTCCTGCTCTCCAGCCTCTGTGTACGAGTGTGGCAGTCAGAGGAAGATTACAGAAATGTGTGTAAGCGCTTGTATGCGGGGAACGTACCACTTCTTCTTTTACACAGCCAGGCATCTGCATCGAGCAGAAGCTGTTTGATAGGACCATCCCAGGATGGATTAAGCTGCAAGAACATCCACTGAAAAAAAGTTTCAAATAATAATAATAAGCTGTGATGTCATTTCAGTGCACAGCTAAAAACACAGACTTAACCCTAAAGAGCCTGACATTCATTCTTTAAACGTTTGGAAACATTACAATGTTTTTGAAAGTAGTCTCTTTACTCACCAAGGTTGCATTAATTTGCTCAAAAATACAGTAAGAACAGCAATATTGTGAAATATTATTACAATTTAAAAAAATATGTTTTCTATTTAAATTTATTTTAAAATTAATTTATTCCTGTGATGCAAAGCTGAATTTTCAGCATCATTCTAATATGCTCCAGAATTTTTATTATTATTATTATCATCAATGTAGTCAGTTGATAATCTGATAATCAGTTATGTAAAAAAAAAAAAAAAAGTCAGGATCCTTTGATGAATTTTGTATTTTAATCAAATAAATGCAGCCCCGCTGAGGGATTATATATATATAAAAATAAACCCTGTAAAGCCTGACTAATATATACTAATATAATCCCTCAAATACGTGTTGCATCATATTTTAAACCCAAATGTTCTATAATAAATGTATGAAATATTAAGAAAGCACAAGTTGCTTAAATCCACTAAACATTGTTTAGAAATCTCAGTAACAGTATAAAGTGTATTCTTTTTTTTTCTCCTTATATTGTTGTTCTTTTGTTACTTATTATTTCCTCACAATCATCAAAAATATATTTAAAGCTGCAGTCCGTAGCTTTTCCTCTTTGTCGCCATCTCTCTGTTCGAAATCTGTAACTGCAGTGATTCGCGGAATTATCATCTTTACGTGGGTTGTAAATCGGCATGAAACAGCGCGGATGAACACAGTGCTTTGAGGCGAGTGCTGCTGTCAGTCACCGCGCTGTGTGGATACTGTCATACAGAATCACAGATTCACTTTTTGAAAGTTTGACCAACATAAGAATTTTCATAAGAAAATGTCTTCTGAACAAGTAAGTAACATCCATTTTTGTTCTGACCAACTAAGGGGGAAAAAGCATTCGACATGATAAGCTTCGTTAGATTTAATCAACGCGATTTACAGCAACCGTGCAAATTATAGCCTACTTTGTTCTCAAATTGTTCATGTTAACAACATCAGCATTGCGTGACTAATGTTAAATTTAATGTGTTTTATGGTTACCTGTGTAGTTCAGAATTCATATTCTCCATAATAGCAAAACGAGAAAGGCACAACAAAGGAAACTCCATAACTGTGTGAATTAAGAAAACGTACTGTTACACGATTGAACTATTGAAATCTCTTACTTGTTCAGCAGAAAAAAGCCGTCTCTTCTTCCGTTTTGAACCCCTTTAAAACACGGAGTTCACGCACTTTTCAAAAGCCCCGCCGATGTTTAAATCCTTGTGTTCGCATGAGACGGTTTCTTTCTCTTTCTCTAGCCACCTTAAATCCGAAGTACGAAGTCTTTTGGGTTTTATAACTGCTGAATCTCCAGTTGACACTGATGATTGTTGTTTGGATCTTTCTGGATCCGCCATAAGTTGAATTATGTAAAGTGCTGCGAGAAAAGCCTATACATCTAAACATCTCGTCACGCGCAGTATAGCCGGCTAGCCGAAACTCCTTTATGTGTACGGATGTGACGTAATGACGCAAAGACATGCTCGAATTTCCCGCGGAAACCCACCAGTACCACTGGAATTAGAATCATTATTACAAGCTAACCGTTTTGAATCTAGCTATGGCAAGCAGATAGTTTTGACCACTGGCAGAATAAGTTTTTTTTAATATAATCATTTTGGATTATTTTTAACTTAAAAAAAGCTACGGACTGCAGCTTTAAATGTATTAAATGTCCATCTACTTCCTGAAGCATCTTTACACCACCAGGGGGCAGAAGACATGTGATCATATCCCACATCACCTACCTTTTTCAGTGCTGTGTAGACATCCATCTCCACTTGCATTACGAACAGATCGGAAGACTGAATAAGTTGTTCCATAATCTCCACCCTACACACACATACTAAATGAGACCAAAGATTTATAAAAACTAAACCTTCAGATGCATATAGTAAGACTGTACCCGAGCTCCTTCATGAGGTCCACGTTCTGATGCGTCATGAGGTTATTGAGGAGCCACTCTAAACACCTGCAATGCACATGCAACATGCTCATTATGCCACAAGAGTGTTGGAGAACAATGAAGGGAATCAAACAAGACTACTGACTTCTTCATGACGGAGTCCAAGCCGTACATGGTGGCCGAGTTATAATAGCTGCACACGGTCTTCACATTCACGTTCTCCTTCATGGTCTCTCCACACTGCTGGATTAACCCATCCTGGGAAAGACAAAAAGCATATTATGAAGGATGACACTAGAAAGACAACCTGCACCAGTGATTAAAAAGTGTAGTTGCTGGCTATAGGGGTGTTGCTATCTGGTTGCTAAGGTGTTGCTGGGAGAGTGGTTCTGATTGGCTGTGTATTTGTCGCTTTCTGCAGCAGTGAGGATTTTTTCTGCTTGTCTTGTCATTCCAGTAGTTCGGATTTGTATCGCCCTGTTAACGTTTGCACTTGTTAAAAACACAAGAATTATATTATAAAAATAAACTATTATACATTTTTCACGTGACAGGCTGAATCTGCATTACAGAGAAATCGCATATCTTTACGGACCAGACACTGTTTTTAAACCTAGACCTACTTACCAACTGAAGCATACAAGCAGCGGCGAGAATATTGACAACCCGACTTGGTTTGATCAACACGTCATCCCTGTAGAGTGACCCGAAAACCACTTGCAGGGCTACAGATGGAGAAGAAAACAAGGTCAGGAATCCGGATATGAATGTTTGGTGTCCACAATACAAATACAACAACTTAAATGTGTTCATTGCATCAAGGTGGTGTAAAATCCTCACCTTCAGTGTCAATATTTTGGTCTGGGATCTCAAGCTCAATAACCATCATGTTAGACTCCTTCCAGGATCCACTGAACATGCTGGAGAAATAGCCAGACTGTTTCCAAACAGGAAAATGAAAGGGGGAAGAAAACATTTAAATCAAAAGCGAAATGAGTAGTCTGTCATTAGGAGAGCTGAACAGCTGGACCAACCTGACACAGGTATATTTTATGCAGGTTCCACTCCTGCCCCAGGGCTCGGATCTGGATGTCACTGTTTTCTCCATTCAGGAACAGTGTCTGGTAGATGTACTTAGAGGTGCTTTTCAACTTCTTCCTGTCCGCAACGAATGCAGACAAAAACAAAAATTAGACATCTATTAAATACAACCAAACACTAATTAATGTGACAATGCAGGTTATCAACTGTCACATTTATATTTTTTTAAAAGAAAGAAATTTACTTAGACTCAGCAAGGATGCATTAAATTGATCAAAAGTGACAGTTAAGACATTTATATCTCAAATACAGTCAAACCCAAATTTTATTCAGACGCCTTCAACATTTCTAACCTTATCAGTTTAGTCACTATAGATTAGAAAAACTTAAGAAAATATGAGATATTTCACTGGTTTTGGCCATCCTTCTGTTAGACTGTCCCACACATTACTTATGTTGAATAGCTGTCAGCTGTTACATTTACCGGTAAGTACACAATTAGATAATACCAATTTAGGTCAACCAATTACCAAGCAATGCTTCATTTTGTTCAGTCTATGGTGTAAAAAAAGGTCGCATTAGCAAATAAAGAAAAAAACACTCAAGAAAACATGGCCAGGTCAAGTGTCTAAATCATTTTTGGTCCCAAATTTTAATACATTTTACTGGTACTCCACTGTATGAAGAATATTTTAGTATAAAATGTCACGGTTTACTTTATTTTGCTATACTCACTTGAACTAGAGTGTTTTTTAAATTGTAACAATATTTCACTGCATTGTGATCAAATAAATGCAGGATTGTGAGCATAAGAGACTTCTTTCAAAAACAAAAACTTCTAACTGACCGACCCCAAACTTTTGAGCGGCAGCGGTGTGTGTATTCTGACCTGCGTGGCGTGTCCAGCTGGCTGTCCTCTTCCTCCGGCTCGCTGTCACACTCACAGCGTGAGCTGCGTTTCCTCTTCCTGCACTCACAGCTGTGTCTGTTTCCAGCGCACTGCCTCTCCAGGGCCTCCTCCGGGCCCCGGGCCGACGACTGGAACCGGCTCCCGAGTGAACCCATGATTATTTAGCCTACAGAAAAACACTATTCATTTAGTCATGTACCTAAACTGCTTCACAACACCACTGACGCGTCATGACAACTGTACAACCAATGCATTAACTTGGTACCACCTGCAAAAAGTCTAACAAATAATTCAATTTAAGCACTGTATGGATGCCAGGGCGTGAGGCCAGGTGACAGTTGGTGAGTGAGATCACTTCCCACTGCTTAATTTACTTAGCTAGCAATATCTAAAGTTATTTTGCCTAAATAATGTTATTTCATTTTGCAGTGGTTTCATTTAGGTCCTGTGAAGCTCCAGTCAGATGGTTTAGTACAGAAACAGTGAAGTTATGCTGTCAGTGTTATTATTTCAACACCAAGAACTTATTATTTTTTCCATAAGCTGTATATTAAAGTCGTGTGTATGTTAAGAAGTAAGAACAATAAATCTGGCCTCTTGTAAACACTCACCACACGCTTCTGCCTCTCAAAACACTGGACACTCCCTGGAATCTGCTCATCAAGCGCTGCGCAAATGCATTATTAGGCGTGTTATGAACGCATATTATGGCTGTTAATGACTGTACATCCAAATCGGCTGTTAAATGTCTAATGAACTAGGCAGCCGTTTGAAACAACAGCAGACTGCTAAATAACACACAGAGCTATGTGTCTCTGCTCCACGTCACGGCTGTGTGTGCTGATCCTCGGGCGCTGCTGCCCCTGCTGTCGCGGAGACGCTGCAACTCTTCTTGCAGACTGAAAAACAACTATTTTTGTTATGTAAACGTTGATTTTTTAAAGAAAATAAAAAAGACAGACTGTTTATGTTCTTCTAATCTATGTCATAAAAGCTATATTATTTTACTGCAGTCTTTTTTAGTGTAATTCTATGTTGTGTTGACATTTTGTTTATCTACGTTTTATTATTTAGCGTTCATTTCAGTGGTTATCTAGTTGTCTCTCTGCCTTGTATTATAAATGTGCAATAATCATAAAACGATAAATGTTTTGAATTAATTATTTATATAAATCAATTAAACTATTTGAAACGCTGCTGCGTTAAATTTTTAAGTAAAATCAACTTGGATGTTTAAGTCATTTCAATTTAAATTACATAAACATTACTTTTAAAATTGTTTTAAAAAAAGCTTAACTTATTTTGATGAGTTAAAGCAATGTAAAAACATTTTGTCATAACTTATTGATCATGTAATTCTCACAGTGCACTTTACACTTCACAATGTCTCATTTGTTAACATTATTAGTTAATGTATAAACTAACATGAATAAACTATAAGCAATATATTTTTAAAACTTTTATTAATCTTTGTTAAAAATACAGTAATTGTTTTGCTCGTTACTTAACATTGCATTAACTAATGTTAACAGACACACATTTTTATTTAAAAAATGTATTAGTAAATGTTGAAATTAACATTAACTGAGATTAATAAATGTTGTAAGCATTGTTCATTCTTTGTTCATGTTAACTACTGTAGTTAACTAATCTTGACCTGATCTTAATTAATTAAACCTTACGTAAACTTTAAAACATTGAGGTTTTTCTGTATTTTAAGACATATGCAGGGACATGCTTCCCAGTTCACTTCAACAACAAGAATGATTGGTATTCAGCTGAGATAATTTAATTTACTCCTAAATAGAAATGTAAAAAAAACAAACAAACAAAACCCAACCACTGACCGGTTTTGACCATAGAGGTTTTGACCACTAGACCTCGTTTCCACTTCCCCCTTTGATGGGCGGGACTTAGGACGGAACCAGCCAATGAGCGTCGAGACATCTACGCAGTCGCCTACCTTTCATTTGTACCTTTCTGCGGATAGCCAAGCTTTCAGGGTGCTGTGTGTCTGTTTGACACGTACCTCACCCTGGTGTGTGGAAGTCTACCCATGTATCGGATGTGAAAGGATTTCGGGCGGTTCAAGACCGACAGACCTTTTGTAACGTTCAGTGCAGACTGGTTTCATAACCTGCAACATGGAGCCAGGGGCGAGTGACGCGGCAGCAGGTAAATACTGTATTACTACAGTAAAAGTGGCCTAAAGAGATTGAAATGGATATTACTATATCAGACAACTTTGCATAACATTAGCTTTAGTATGCATCTGATTATATAAGGTGTACGTATCGTATGAATAAGTGCATTAAAAGTGAAAATGTAGATATCATTTGATTTATCTAGTTTGAGTCGAAACCAATGCAAGTAACGTTACTGTTTTGTACGTAGCCTATGAAGTGTACTTTGTAAAATTGTTAGATTTATTCAGTTAACTTTGTCTCGGATGTTTCTCCTAAAATTCTTTCTGTGAAGTACCTGATAGACACAAATATTAATATACATATTTGTGTACAAAGCTGTAAACTTAATGTGGACAGCAGATCTCTCTCAGGTTATTTAATCTAGAATCAACAAGAAATATTTGAGTTCATACAGAAATCATACTGACATCTCTGACCTGTCATTGAAAACTAAAACTGGCAACATTGAGACATTTTTTTAGATCTCTTCTGAAACTGTAGGTGTGATGTGAATCAGTATCATAATGTTTTTATTTTTCTCAGGAGAAAAATCTGAGATACTGGCTGAATTAAAAAGCTAAATCTCCATTCATTCACTCTCAGTTTAATCTCATCGCTGATTGGGAGAAACAACTGAGATATTATTGAGATTCCCTTTGTCACTTTAGCAGGTGCTCGATACGTTGAACCCTCCAAAGCGAAGAAAAAGAGCAGTGAGGAGAACGAACAGGCAACTTCGTCCCCGTCTGAGCAGGCCAGCACCATGAAGCGTCTCTTTGGCTTTGAGAAAGAAGACGTGTCATCATGGCATCGGCTGGTGTGTCTCCTCAATCGCCCCACTGACCCGGCCTCATTGGGCATTTTCCGTTTCTTATTTGGTGAGTCTTCATTTGTGCATGAAGTATGTGATTTTACAGCATCCATGATTTTAAATTGTGGTGCAGGTGTTGATGTGTGCGGTGTTTCCTCAGGTATGCTGATGGCGCTGGACATCACCCAGGAGCGAGGCCTGAGTCATCTGGACTTTAAGTATTTAGACGGGGCACCGGTGTGCCGCTTCCCCCTCTTCAACTTCCTGAAGCCCCTTCCCATGGACTGGATGTTCTTTGTGTATTTTGTTATGCTCCTTGGTGAGTTCCTCGAAAAACTCTTTGTGAAATGCAACAGTGACTGCCCACTTTTCTAGTGGCCTTGCTTCTGGAACCACCTTTCATTTTCTCCATAGGCATTTCTAAAAAAAAAATAGTGTTTTGACTTTGAACCAAACCAACCTGCTATGAGATGTATTGCTTTGAGGACTTATATTAATTATAATTAAAATATTTTTTATATTGTTTTATAAAAATTAAATATAAATATATCAATTATATTTATATTGTTAAAATGTATAAAGTCATTATTATTATAATTAAAATATATTAATTATTAAAGGGATTCACTATACTGGACCAGTATTAAGATAGTTTTTAAATTTATTTCTGTCACTCAATATTTGTTTGTACATCTATATTTTTACATTTAGATTACTTTTTATGTCATTATAAATATAAATTGTAAAAATATATATTATATTTATTATTAAAAATGATATAGTATTCATATTCATATTATTATTAATTATATTATTAAAATATATTAATTATTAAATATTTTTTTAAAAATTGTAGGGATTTACAATATACTGGTTCTTGGCCGATATTAAGAGAGTTTTACATTTATTTTGTACATTTGTTTGTACATGTCTCTTTTTTTACATTTAGATGACTTTTTCTGTCATTTAACACACTGAAAGTTAATCTTTAAAAAACATAATAAAAAACAAATGAAATAACTCGAAATAGTTTAATAACACTGTTAAATATAATCTTTAAAATTATGTTTCATACTGTACATTGTAATGCCTAAATTTTGATGCCTAAATTGTGTTGTAGAATTCAACATTAGTATTTTATTTTTAATTTATTTAGACAAAATAATATAGAACTGTATTGTTGGCCATTTATCAGTTATCCAGCCATTGCTAAAAATAATTATCGACGTATTGGTATCTGCCAGAATGGTATTTTTATTTCCAGAACCCATTGTGTCATTTTGACTGATGTGAACTCAGCACTTCTATAAGAAGACACTAGACTGATCATCCACTTGTGTGTGTTTTGCAGGCGCTGTTGGTATCATGCTCGGCCTTTTTTATCGCCTTGCCTGTCTGATGTTTATATCTACTTACTGGTACGTTTTCTTCCTGGACAAAACGACCTGGAACAATCACTCTTATCTGTACGGACTCATCGGCTTCCAGCTCACGCTCATGGACGCCAACAGATACTGGTAAGCTTACACTTCCTGTACAGTGGTCCCCAAAAACTTTTGGACACTTAGCTCACACTTAAAAATAAGCATTGGACAACAAAACATTAATCCAAGAGTAATTTATTTTAAAATAAAACAAGCAAAACATTGTTTTAATGCAGGTCATTAGATGGACTCCGAAACCCCAGGAAGAGGAACGCCCATGTACCGCTGTGGAACTACACTTTGCTGAGAACTCAGGTCAGCTGATGTATCTAGATGTGGCCTGAAATATCATCCCTGTGTTGAAGGACATTATCTGCATAGACAAAGTTATGATGCGATAGTAAATGTGCATTGCCTTTGACAGATTTTCATTGTGTACTTCATCGCTGGGGTCAAGAAACTAGATGCTGATTGGGTGGAAGGGTACTCGATGAAATACTTGGCACACCATTGGTTATTTGACCCTTTCAAGTGAGTATATTAGCCTCCAATTACACCCGCCTCAGCATGACACATTGTTGTAATGGATCAGGATCATGGCTATGTTCACACTGCAAGCCTTAGTGCTCAATTCTGATTTATTGCTCAGATCTGATTTTTTGTTTGGCTGTTCACATTTTTTTTTTTTTAAATGTGTCCGATATCAGATTCGAGGTTGAACTGATCGCAGTCCCGAACTGACCCTTTTTGCGCAAAAGAACAATAACAACACGTAAACACAGAGGTTACTGAAGTCAGCTTTTACACATCGAAGTCACACATAAGCGGAAAAAATAGGCAAATTTTGCCTGCAGTCACTCTGAACGTAGCCATATTTTGTCTAGGCCTGTCATGATTATTGATAAATCGTCAGATAAAATTTCAGTGACATTTTGACATGCAAATGACCCGGGTCAGAACCCGGAAGACTAATTCGCCGCTGGTACACATGGGTTCACAAGTTTTTCAATTTATGAGTAAAATAAAGCCTGTGGTAAACATAACTTGATACGTGACGTTTTGTTCTACAACGTACGCTGCACACACTCACAACCCAAACGTTCTTCTCAAAAATAGTCATGACTGCTTCAAAATTTGCATTTTCAAGTTATGTTTATCACAGGCTTTATTTTACTCATAAATTGAAAAACTTCATTATAAAACCCCATGGGAAAATCTCGAAGGAACCAGCGGAGAATTAGTCTTCCGGGTTCTGACGTCATTCTATTGATAATCGCTATTATTTCTAAGACAGTTAAATTCATGATGATGACAGACCTAATTTTGTCTTTTTCAGAATGATCTTGCCTGTTGAATTGGTCAGTCTGATGGTGGTCCATGGCGGGGGTCTGATCTTAGACCTCACAGCTGGCTATCTGCTTTTCTTCGATGCCACCCGTCCTGTCGCTATCTTCTTTGTCAGCTATTTCCACTGCATGAATTCCCAGCTCTTTAGCATAGGTAAAAAAAAAATGACGCTAAAGGACTAGTTTACTCAAAAGATTTGAGATTTTGAACACTTTATGATGTTTATTTGTATCCTCAGGAATGTTTGCTTACACCATGTTGGCCACAAGCCCTCTCTTTTGCTACCCTGACTGGCCTAGACGCTTTTTTGGCCGTTTCCCAGAGTTCCTCTGGCCTGTACTGCCCCTCATCTCTCCTGCCCCGAGTCCCAGCTCCTCCTGCGTGTACCCAAATCCACCCAGTGTGCCTAGAGAACAAGATGAGACCCACTCGGCTCCCAGACCCACCACACCGAGCTTCAAGCACAAGTTTAGAGCCTTCTTCGCCATCCTTTACATCACAGAGCAGCTCTTCTTGCCATACTCGCACTTCATCACGCAGGTGATTTTAAACTGCACTATGTTGTTTAGAATAGATGCAGTTTGATCTAGAAGGTTCATTGCGCTTTCACAATCAATGTAAACACAGATAGCGAACAAAAGCAAATATCTGCACAAACCTTTGGAAGAGGAATCACATGCCTTACTTGCGCTTCACTTCAAAGGCCCTGTTTACACCTGGTATTATGATGCGTTTTGGTCGATCGGTTCACAAGCAGGGCGACGCAAAACACAGGTGGTCTAAAACATTTTGAGCTCGTCCACTTTTGACCACTTCCAGAGGTAGTCGAAAACACATTAGACCGGATTGCTTTCGTGGTGTAAAACGCTCACGTGGTCGAATGTGTACGAACAGCCACAAAAGACGCCTACTCTCCGCCTACTGACTTAATGCGTAAACATTATGGGAAGCGCTCTAGCCAGACGGGATTAAAACTTTGTCGGCTGAAGACCCAAGTTTGGTTTAAAGACGAAAAACATACCAAGCACAATGTTCTCTCACCATTCCTGATTTCTAACACACACTCACAATGTCAGCGTGGTCTTGCGGCTGTCAGAGCAGAAACAAAAGCTGATGCTCTCCGTATGTTCTTCTGTTGTCTCCAGGTACGTTCATGTGTAAATTGCGCAAGCTTATTTTGTTCATTAGATGGAAAGATCTGAAAAAACCCATACATTTATAGGGTTTATAGTTATAGGGTTACGGCGGTAAGTTCGGAAATAGGCCGGGTAGAGAGAAACGAGCGTTGCAGTTGTTCTTGCATTCTGATTAAAAGTTCAGAAACGGAGACTCCCTTGACTGTCCTTCTTCAGACGTTACAGTAGGCTACTCTCTCTGTATTCAAAGTGCAAACCGAGACCAGAGCCACAAATACACAGTCCAGAGATAGGTTTGATATTAGGAGACAGACTATTGTATGTATGCAGCCTAATTTACGCGCATTATCAGGAAGCTCGTGTTTTACTTTCACTTTAAAATTCGCGATCGCACCTACTATGTAAAGGGAGCAGCGGTGCTGAGTGCGCATTCTACAAGATAAGACATTAGCAGACGCTTAAGCTCTGTTGCACAACGAATCATCGTCACACGATCAGTGAACTGTGCAACTCGTGTTTGATGAGCAGAGCAGCCGTAAACAAGTTTACAATGGTTTTTATTCTCATAAAAACAGCGAGACAGCTTTTCACTCGGCGAGAAATCTCGTTACATTTCGCAAGATCTGGTCACACCCCTATTATCAGCATAATTTCACTGCTGTCACTTTAAGACCTTACGCACGGATCCATTATACTGTTTCACAAGCGTTTTCTTTCTCAACTGTTTACGTTCTCTTGAAACATAACTAACTGTTTAGCTGAATACTTGTCAAGACCGGCATTTTGACATTATTTTGTGTGTATTTGACTGTTTAAGCGCAATACGCAGCGAAAAATAACTCCATTTAGTACGAAGAGGCAGCTTTATGTGAGCGCACTTTGGGTGTGAGAGCAAAAAAAGCAGCTGGTATCGTATATTCTGTGGAAAATGAGTATCAGAAGCATTTCAGATATTTCAGTATCAAGATGTATAAAAAAAATTTGAAGTACATTATACTTAGTTTAATATTTCAGATGCCTTTTTAAAAGACTACAATTAAAAAATGTATATACAAAATGTATGCTAGTAGAAAGTGACTGTGTTTTCACGCCACTGCTGAAATCCACCTGCATTTGGCCTGTTTTAATGTCAAACCCTGTATAAGAATTATACAGAAAAAATATAAGATTTCCAAATGTTAAACATTTAATCTCTGGGCCATACAGGGCTATAATAACTGGACAAATGGACTGTATGGCTACTCATGGGACATGATGGTTCACTCTCGCTCACATCAGCATGTCAAGATCACCTACAGAGATGGCGAAACAGGCGAGGTTGGATATCTGAACCCTGGAGTGAGTCAAAACTATTTTACAGGAATGTTCCAGGTTAAACAGATTAAGCTCTATTAGTTATCATTTCAAAACATACCCGTTTGTGGAAATTTTTGTTTTTACATGTTTCATTAGCTTGCAATGCAAGTATATGGAAAGAAAAGTGATTCTAAATTCATTTCCTGTGATAATGGACAACATGCTACAGATACCACCAATAGAGCTTGACTTGTTTTTAGCCCACAATATTCCTTATTTTAACAATACAACAACTGGAGTTATTTAAATTGCACCACTACATTGTTACGCTTTTATACGCTTATCTTCTCATGTCATTCCAATATGGCGCAGGTTTTCACTCAGAGCCGGAGATGGAAAGACCATGGAGACATGTTGAAGCAGTACGCGACTTGCCTCAGTGAAAATCTGCCACGCTTCAATATCTCAGACCCAGAGATCTACTTTGACATTTGGGTGTCCATCAATGACCGTTTCCAACAGAGGTTAGTCGTGTTTAATTTACATTGCTAGATGTTCTTTGATTCATACAGACAAAATGATAGTCCAATGCTTCTGACATCAAAGTTAAAAGCCTTTATTTCAATATGGTTCTGCTTCTATCCAATAGGATTTTTGACCCACGCATTGACATCGTAAAAGCCGATTGGTCGCCTTTCCGCCCCAATCCATGGCTCATGCCACTTCTCGTTGACTTATCACCATGGAGAACCAAATTTGAGGAGATTGAGGGGTCTTTGGACAACCAGACTGAGGTGGTATTCATTGCTGACTTCCCAGGTATGTATCTCTAACTGAATTCTTTTTTTTTTTTTACTGGAATACTTTTGCTTTATTTGCACACACAGGTGCTCAGTTATTATTAATGTGACATCCACAGGCCTTTTTCTTGAAAACTTTGTGAGCGAGGATCTTGGGAACACCAGTGTTCAGGTCCTGGAGGGTCTAGTGAAGGTTGAAATAGTGGACGAAAAGAAGAACTACAGTTTGCAACCAGGAGAAAAGATGCAGGTACAATTCTCCTATCCTGTATTATGAAACTCTGAACTCTTTGTTCTAGTGTAACATTTTAAACTCTTGCTGTTATTAATGTTAGTATCTATATTGATAAATTTCATTATTGTGTATTAAGATACCAGCTGGCGCGTACCATAAGGTTTACACTGTGTCAGAAGGGCCATCCTGTTACATGTACATTTATGTAAATACTACTGAGGCGGAGCTTCAGAAGAACTTCTCCAAGCTTTCTGAACTTCAGGAGAAAGTGCGCAATGGAACAGGTAAGTCACACTTTGGTTAAATGGGAAAAATATGATTTTAAAACTACTACAAATTCCTTCAGATTAAATGAATTCTTTGTTGTTTACCAATAATTTTTACATGTCAAATAGTTCATTTATTCTCTTTAACATATTTACTTTGATTTGTACATAATCATATTTATTTGCCAATGCAACATTGCAAACTGGGTTCACACAAACAATGTGAATTCAAATTAATTCAGTGTAAAACAAAGCCAAGCCACAAAAAAATAGCAACAACATCTTTATTTACAATATGAACAGAGCTTATTTCTACACTACTATAGTATTTAACATTGTGAGTTACCTTTAATTTTTATATTGTCAGTTTTAATTGTAATTTATTTTAGTATTTTGTTTTTGCCATTTTTATTGGTTTGTTTTTTTATATTTCTATTCAGATACATTTTTTCAGTTTCAGTTTGTCATTTTAGTACTTAAACTTATTTCAGTCAGTTGCCAAGGCAATATTTCTAATTTTCATTTTTTATACATTTTATCAATTAACAAAAACTATTTTTCAATATTTTTCTTCTTTTCGTCCACTATTTCAACCTTCACTAGACCCTCCAGGACCTGAAACGTGATTACGTGATTTTGATTATGAAAAGTAAACAATCTAAAGCCTGGCTCACACTACAGGAGTTTTAGGCCGATTTATGCCCGTTTATGCCCCTCCCGAGAATCGGAGAAAAAATCTTGTCGAGGACCTCGATCGGTTCCGATGTTCGGCACAGATTATCTGGTAATGTGAGGCATTCACAGATCGAATCTTGCACCTCCCGATCTGCTCTTACACAAATCGGGCTCGCCCCGATCATATCAAACATGTTTGATATTTATCGGGATGAGCAAGATTGTGATTACGTCAGTACTGTCACAATAGCCAATAAGTAGGGCTGTCATGGTGAAGGAATTTCCATTGAGGTAATTTTGAGTGACTCATCAGCGCGATGCGCGCATTATCTCCATTTATCCATTTATTGCTAAATAAATAAGCCCAATACAGTATAATAAATAATAATAAAATACTAAATGCATAATAAAGGCATCTGAAATAATAAACTAAGTAGCCTACAATCTAGTGTTGTCAAAAATATAGATTTTTCGATATCGATCCTGAACCATCTGCAACTCTTCCGTCTTCCGCAGGATGCACGCGATCTTCAGTAGTGAACGCAGCCAGAGAGAAATGCACATTTCATACGGATTACATAAGCAGAGAGCAGTCTGTTGTCTGTTTTCTTTCGTTTTGAATTGTTCTGTTTAAAAGTAGACATGTCTGTGAGGCAAGTCTATCTTATAGGCCTATGCTGAGTTTCGGTTCATTTATGAAGTATCGCCGACGCCTCCGTTTCGTGATTATCTATCGTCTGCTATATTTACTTCTTATTTATAAAAATCCAGGCAATTGGTTGATGAAACATTGTTTAAAATTAAGATACAATTAATACAAAACGAAATTCGATTTAAAGAAAGGTTTTGTGCTTTCTGTTTGATGTCTTTGTGAAAGATTTAAAGCATATTTTAAAGTCGCTTAGAGCGGTCATGTTCGTAACATTGTTTTTTCCTCAAATGCCAACACGAAAAATAAAATAATATGAATATTTTATGTTCTGTGGAGACTGAGAGCCCTTTCTTCATCCGGTGGGTAGTAGCTACTGTAGGCTATTACTTTGGTTTGCACAGTGTAATTCACAGAATTAGGCCTAGGCCTACACAAAAATATTTTCATTATAAAATATTTATATTCATTATAAAGTTATATTCATTCAAAGATAGGTTAAATGAAACAAGCTGTTAATTATTTTAATTTTAACTTTGAGCTCCACTTTACAATGCTCAGCTGAGCAGCAATGGGCATTGAGCAACGCTGCTGATGCTTTACCTTATAGAGATCTATGGCATTGATTCATTGTATTGAACAGAGCTGACGCCATTCATTAGAAATATCCTTATTAAAAGGATGATTTTTTTTTAAAGATTTCGCTTTCCTTGGTCACACGGCAACCTTTTCACGAATATGACTTGATATGAAGGACAGATATTTTGTTTACATCCACCTTTCCGCTTCCGATCTGTTGCGTGAGATCACGTGAGGCGCTTTCTCTGGCACGAATCTTAATAACATTGTGTAGTGTGTGATGCGCCACGATTTTCAAATCTTGTAGTGTGAGCATGTTTAAGATTTGAGGTAAGAAAATCTGCAAAGATTCTCCTTAAGTGTGAGCTGCAACCAGATTTCAAAATCGGTTAGGATTTTAAAACTCCTGTAGTGTGAGTGAGGCTTAAGTAAGATAGGCTACATCATAAGATGCGCAATGTCGGGAGACATGGTGTGGGTCAGACATGATTTTCAGCCACTTCTTCTTTAAGTTCTGTACAAAGCCTTCCTTTAAAGTCAACTTAGTTTTGTAAAAATTTAATAAATAAGCAAACCAAGACCCTCGGCTGTGGAATGGATTGAGGTCAAAACTAACACTGGTTTGATGATCATTTTACGAGTCCCGATTTGAGCCCAATGATTGGACACCATTATATTGTCGACAGAGTGGAGATTTATCTTAATAAATATGCGCTGTAGCAAAAACAATAGGCTAAGATAAATAAAAAAAAACAAGTGTTTTCTGATTATTCCTCCGTCTGTATTGAGCAGCGAGCAGATCCTCCTTTATCTCATGACTCAGGCAATCGCCTCGTTCACATAGGCCGAATGTTTTTGTTGTGTGTAGCCTGTGTTTGTGTAAGCGAAGTCGTGTGCATTTAGTTTATATTCTGTAGGACCTACACTATCTATTTAAATACAGAATTTGTAGGCTATTTGCAGCCTCTTTTTTTCAGTTTGCAGAATGAACAAAAAAAAAATCCAAAAACATGCTTGCACATTTTTATTTTCGTGTATTTTTTATAAATGAACAAAATCTTCACATTCAGTGTTTTGACCCTAATGTAATTTGTCTTACAGAATGGCCACTTTTTTTGTGCACAGATAAATCATATTTCATAATAAATATAAGAATTGTCCATTTTGATTTCATGGTGGCTTTAACAATAGCATGACTGGTCTAGATCAAAAGCTCCCTTTAGTACAACATCTTTAAACATATAAGGGGCTGAAAGAAGCCCTTTCATTTTTTTTTTGTTGTGTAGCTACGCTGAAGAAGCACACATGACAACTTGTTGCTGTTTGTAGAAACAGAGCCTTTGCCTCCTGAGATGCAGCCGCTCATCACCGGTCTCGACGACCAGGACTCGGACAACAGCGTGATCGACCCTGTAGTGCGAATCTTCCTCAAACGACAGAAGCGCATGCAGGAGGTGAAAAAGCGTCGGGAAGCTTCTGTGGTCGAGAGGTTCCAGAGATTTGCCTCAAAGAAATACTACTCGATCAGACGAGGGTATGTAGGCGTATTAAAGGGAGATATTAAGTGCCTTGCGACAGTATGAATGAATTATTTTGGTTCATCTCTTAAGGATCCTGATGACAGCCATCGCTTTGCGTAACCTGGCTGTAGGTTTGCCACCGCTAGAGCAACTGACAAGAGAGGTGGCCTACGCCAACCTGAAGGAGCCTGAGAGCGAGACCAATCAGGACGAGCGTCTTAAAGACGAGGTGGGCCACGGAGAGCTGTGAGAGAACACTGTTACTGAGCTGCTGGCTGATCCTGCAGAAAATCAACAAATGCTTTAGTAAGTCAGTATTTTTGGAACATTCCACGATCAGGTTATTGTTTAGTTTTTTAATCATACACTTAAGCCCAAAAATGTAAATCTTTTACACACCCCTCATGTCATTCTAGACCCGTATAACTATGTTAGATTTTAAGATTTGTGAAGAAGTCCTGAAATGTTGTCCTGTTCTTAACATGGTCCTGTCATATGGCTTCAAAAGACCTGGAATGCACTGTAGCGCACAAGTGGTAAAAGACTATTTTACAGTACATTTTTCAGTTTTTGGGAGTTTGACAATGTCTTTCTTTATTCAACTTTCATTTTATGGAGAGAGAGAAAAGCAGCTGGAACATTCTTAAAAATGTCTCTTTTTGTGTCCCATGGATGTCATACAGGTTTGGAACAATGATGGACAGAATTTATAATCTTTAGTTGAACTATTTTTTTCATTCCCTTTTACTGGTTACTGAAATGTACGTAATGATGACACTAAGATTAACTTTTTTCTTTTTTTTTATAGTCAGAAAAAAAACTTTTAAAAGCTATTCATTTTCTATTACTTTTTCAGTATTAAAATAAATCTAAATGGAACTTGGCCTTTTGTGAGAATGTTTGAAGTGCAGTTTTTCTTTACCTTTAAACCAAATAAAAGCTTTTATCTTACAATTCACTCATCTGTGCTTAAGGGATCCTGCTATGTTTCGTCTCATCACAGGATTTATGCACACATTACATCAAATGCATTTTCAATTGGACAAATCTGGGCTGTAAAAAGTGCCAAACATGGACGCCGGGTACCGAATTATCTTTGATGCATAAGTTTCATTATGCTAAATGCTGTTATTAAACGCCTGGGTGGCCTAAAAAAACATGAACTCAACCTTTATATGCACACTGTGATTGTGGGATTGAGAATACAAGAAAGCTGTTCAGATCTGAATTTGTATGTCAGTTTTTTAATAAAAAAAAGTGCAACACTACCCCAATGTGTCATTATAACATGCTTGAGTGGTGACAAAGTATTTAGTTAATGAATAAATGTGTTCTGTTTTATTGCTATCAGTTTTAAAATGATATTAAGTTACAACTGATCTTTTCACCCTTGTTAAAGTGCAAGAGACAATCCGAAGTGTCAACAAATACACACATAATGGAATGGCACATCGTCCACACACAGAATTAAGACATCTAAATGAAAACACTTCAATTCTGTAAAACTGCTTGAAATGGTACATAAATCCATTCTTATCGTTGTCATCTTTATAACATTTAAACAGCTATGACTCGTAACCACTCAAACCGAATGGTCATCACCAATACTACTTCCATCAGTAGTGTGTAAGCTTTTAAAACTATTGTTTTAAACAGTGAAGTTCCTTAAAAATATTAGACTAACATTGGTCCAGACTAAACTGCATTTACAAAGAGGTTAACCCGCTGAAAAGGATTTACTTGGCTCCAGGTTAGCAAAGCTAACATGCATGGTAACTTAAGTTTGACTTTTAACAACTTTTTCACAGTTTTGGGCAGTAACATGATATAAGATATTAGGTGTGTTCGACAACGCTGTGCAGACAACAACGCGATAAGAGAGAAGACGTCTCCGTATGCTTTTGAATCGCTCTCGCGGTACTTTGTCACACACCGATCAGTCAAGTCCAACACACCTATATATACACACTGGCTTGGTCCACCCATTACTTCCCTTTTTGCTAATTATAAGCCAAGGCTGTTAATCGAAAATTGCCACATCAAAAACAAACTAAGTAAATACCGTCCATACAACAATTCAATAACAAATGAAAAGGTTTCAAGGCTCTTCAAAACAACTTCCTTATTTGATAAGTCACCTCATCTAGAGAAACATGCAGTCAGTGGATGAGAAAATCCGTCTGACCTCATATATGACACGAGGAGAGATGTGCAAATACTTGCCGAGGTACTTCTCATATTAAATGAAACCTTGATTCGGCAGTCGATATGAATGTTCACTAAAACTAAATATCAATTCCTGCATTTGCAGAACCCAAAAACAAACAACAAAATTCGATGGAGTGTTGAAACCAAACCACACTCTTCAAGGCTGTAATGAGTGAGTCTGTTAAACTGGTTCTGCGTGGTTTAGTGTTGGTAATATGAATCCCTTTTTATCCGGGAACTCGATGTGATGTCGTCCGTAGTGCTGAGATCTACCTTGGCTGGAAGTCTGGATAAAATATTCCACGTAACACACCTTCGATAACCATATTTGAAAACGTATCTGCAAAACAATTGAAAAGCATGTATCTGTAAAATAATACATATGCAGTATTAAATACACTACAGGATTGTTTTGGTTTTTGCAGGATGTCTTTTAGTAAAATACTATTTATTGCAACAAGACTCTGAAGCTGTAACTACACGGTGACAAATGAACAGTAATTAGACTGATTGAAGTCTCAGCTCAGTTCAGATATAATCATGTGGTTAAGTGAGCGAATGAGTCATCCGAGTCAGTTATATTTCATAATATTCCTGTTTTTACTGTATTTTGATCATTTAAATGCAGAATTGATGAACATGCATTTAATATTTATCTATACTAAATACCTAATGTTATATCATTTTTGTATTTATTTTTATATCTATTTATTTATAAAATCTGTTGCCATATGTTTAATAATATATTTTTTTATCTGTCACTCCCAGACGGCAGAAGGAAACATGAATGCACATGCATTCTTTTGCCCGTTAAAAAACGAAAGCTGAAGGATAGACATGTACCGTTGGTGACAGGCAGCAGATAGGGATCCCTCAGGAAGAGAAGTGCTGGCTGATGTGTCAGTTTACTGCAGTGTTTGTAGAGGAAAGGTCAGAGATCGAGAGAGAGAGAGAGAGAGAGAGAGAGAGAGAGAGAGAGAGAGAGAGAGAGAGAGACAGAATGACTCACAATCTAGTTCGGTTTCTGATGACAGTGTTAAAAAACAAGGCGGACTGTGAAATTTATCACGTGGTTGGTGTCATTTCCCAGCTAGCGCAATAACTTCTCATAAAACACTTTTATAACAGCACGTCACATATCAAAATGGCTCTGAAAGGTTGGATTTTTACATTCTGTGCTTCTTTCAGATGTAAATATTGCATACCTTGATTCCTCCGATTCCGTTTCAAATGATCTAAACAGAAAAAAGACAGTCACTTTAACACACATGTACATTGTACAAAGATCTTTTTTGTAATTACTATATTGAAAAATCTTTGTTTGTCCAAAGGTCTGCTTTCTAAGGCCTTTACTTCAAACTAAATTACACGCTATAAAGCCTTACCCACAACTCTCAGTTTTTGGCAGTGACGGGAAATGGCGAATATTGAGGAAATCCAAGAATATCTTTGGAAGAACCTCATTTTCCATGATTATAGTCTACACATGCACACACACAGAAAAAAACAAACAAATCAAATGGTTATTCCAGAATACGGGAAAGGGGCTGTTTGTCTGTGACTGTGTGATTTATCAATACCTGGAGGTAAAGCTCTAGTCCCAGTCTCCTCTGCTCAAGAACCTTAGGCACCCAGTTCCTCACATGCTTCGAAGGGATTTCTGGAGGTTTAATGCTCTTTTTAAGCTATTAAATAAAAAAAAACATGTTACACACTGTCCAGAAGGAGTCTCTAGAGTTTACACACAGGGCAGGGATGTTTTTCAAGTGGAATTTCTGCATTTTGCCAAAACACTTGACACTTGACGTCAACTATCCTCTTTCCTCAATGTACACAATCATACAGTCTTGATGTACTCTAGTAGCACACAATAAATACTCAACATTATTTCTGACCACATACATACAGTAAATAAGAAGTGATGATCTGAGAAATTCTGCTGAAAACTTACAGATGTTTTCCTATGAACTATTTCAGCAACACTGCTTTTTCACATACATGCTGTTATTTAATCATAATAGTATATTATTATTGGCTTTTTGGAATCACCCTGGGACAATTTGTGTGCAGTTATTTACAGTCAAAATATAGTTCATGTTTTAGATTCTATGAATTAACATTTTACAGCATATCTAATAAGGTTAAGGAAACCCATTTTTAAATTAAAAATGATCCTGTTCATTCCATTTCTAAATAGATTCTGACGTTGATGAGACATGCTCATTCTGCTGTGTATTAGAATAAACAGCCGGCTATTTATTCTTTGATTGTAACATCACAAATAAATTCTGGTTTGATTTAAACTCTTTCATTTTAGCCCTATAGATGATAATCGCTCATTTGTTTTCAAAGATATTATTTGTTATCATAAAAACCATGCAATATGTTTCATAAAAAAAAAAAAAAGCCTAATTCTCCTTTGTGCCTTGAAATCAATTCTCTAATTTCACCCCCAGACTTATACGCAATAACTAAACTACTAGCCTAGATTTGTTTAGCCTTATGAGGGTTTATTAAAAGATTTCACTTAATTGTGATATTATGATTTCTTCTATATGTGTTTTCCACCATGTAATTATTTATTTTCATGCTAACTTTAATTCATAGATGTACAATTGTTCTCTGGTAATTCGTGTTCATGATACATTAACTAATGTTAATCAATTAAAGTGTTACGAATTTATTAAAGTATACATACAAATGAATAATAATTACTTACATTCATGAATTTAGCAGATGCTTTTATCCAAAGCAACATACAAGTGAGTCCAAATTAAAGGGAGAGTTCACCCCAAAAAAATCATTCTGTCATCATTTAATTTCTTCGGATCCACGTTTTTAGTTTTTTTTTACCACCTAATACATTATGTATCCACCATTACGTATTCTACTGCAGTGTGATAAAGAATATTGTTAGCAGTTTTATGCGTGCTTACCATTTTATGCAGGGCGTGAAATTCACTGTAGCGTTTCTCAACAGTGTGCTGTCTACCACACATGAGCACCTCGATCTTAAAAACCTGGCGAGACAAAATGCTTTTCTATCATTTCCTTCGAATATAATACAGTCTAATTGAGTGAGCTGAGATGGCTCATAAATATCAGGATGACTTCACTTTAAATACAGGCTATATCAAAACCTAGACATCATTTCCAGGCATCATAGGAGCGGTTGGAGTGTTCAAACGCGCCCAAACCTGCTCCATTTAGTCAGCGCAAAAGGCTTTGAGACACTGCCAAAGAGTCTACGTCTTCACTGAGTTCAAGAGTAACATTTATTATCGTAAATTGGAATGAAAGCATGTTCACGCCAGCTGGTTGGTCTTGAAAGTAACAGTTAGCCGCTGTTTAACTCACCGTGTAGCCCTTCTCCATGTTACTGCCCTCCGATCGAAAAGACGGGATTGACACTTCTAAAGGATGCATGATCCAACGAGATATATCAGCAATTATGTGGCACACCAGATCAAGTAATTGCCAGAGTCTTTGGTGGGCCCTTCAGAGTAATTTTACTGGTTGTCGAGTTCACTGGACGCCTGACATGAATTGAAAATATTCCACGCACTTCTTCTCCATCGCACGCACTGGTTCAGCGGTCGGTGTCGGTCTGCACATGTGATGCTGCCACCTGTCGTTCGGACAGAGAATAGATCATAACACTGCAGCGATGAGCGCGCGTGTTTTCCCCATGGTTTTTCCGGTCGGAAACTGCGAAAAGGTCGGATAAGGTAGCTAGTTGGGATATGAGTAAGACGGTTGCTGCTGTTATGTAGCCTATGTATTGTAATAAATGCATTTGGGGTTCCGGTTATCTCATTTTGTAGTTTCAATTAAACGTATTATGACTTGACTACCAATTGTCAACATCATCCATTCAGCTCGGTTACCAAAGTTACTGTAAGAAAAATTATCAAAAGGACCTAAATTATGTCTTTAGGTTTGTATGTCAGGTTTCCGTTCTGTTCTGTGGACTGTTTATCTGCTTTTCTGCTTCCTGTGCTCTTTATGTTCCCTAGGTTACTGATTATGCCCTAGTTTTGTCATGGGCTTTGTCCCAATCGCCCCCTGTACCTTTGAATATGGCACTATTTGAAGGGACAGCCATTTGTAATAGTGTCTGAAACCATAGCGGACATTATCAAGTACACTCATTCAATCCCACAATGCACTGCAATAACCAGTGTACAACCAATGTACGCTGGGCTGAATCCGAAATCGCATACTCTCTTGAGTAGTACTTATTTTGAAAACTAAATAAGTATGTTCTGATGGCACACTCCGGCCTTGTGGACCTCCTTCGACCTCCACTTGGTGACGTCAGGAAGTGCAGACCTAAGGGCCGCTGGCCTCGTGTCCATGAGGGCACGCGAGAGTATATTTTGGGACAGGCTTGGTGACATCATTCCACCGAAAGTCAAACAGCCACGAAAGTCCTCCCCTCATTTATCTGATTGGGGGTTCGCAATGATTCCTGGGTAGGTAACTCGTGTGGAGGGTGCGAAAGTGCGGGCTTCACCGAAGTGAAGGACACAAGGGCATCGAGGGCACAAAGACACGGAACGAGCGGTTTGTGTGAGAAAACGAACAGTATTTATATCGTTTTTACCTCTTGTAACCACAGCCACGTCCAAGTGATCTGAGGGCGCGGGCGCTTCGGTCTGTGCGTTGCAAGAGGTAAAAACGATATAAATACTGTTCGTTATCTCACACAAACCGCTCGTTTCGTGTCTTAGGCCATCAATGTGTACTTACATTTACGAGTCATTAAATCATGTTTAATTTGGACTTCTCTGTGCATGCTCTTTGAGGTGGTGACCATAGACCTGCATTATATGACTGACAGACAAGAACGGTTTGACCTAAAAATATCAAAATTGAAACTACTGCGGAAACAAAGACACCTACATCTTGGATGCTCTTGAGGTAAGCTAAAACATATCAAAAATTCATTTCAAAGTGAACTATCCCTTTAAAGCTGCTGTGAGGGTGTTTCTAATACAGTGGCTGTGAAGTAAGTTAACATCTTTTATCTCTTCTGACTGCCGTTATCAATCTCGCTCTATTTTTTCCCCTCTTTTTGAAAGTTGTGAAAACACTATTGTGGAGTTTTTCTTTTGCTATTTGAGCAAATGGGAACACAAAAAAATGTATCTAATGTATTCTCTCATTCACCACTATAGAATTGTATATGACGACTTCCGCTTCTGAGAAACCCGGAAATGTGAAAATGGTCATTTCCCGTGTCTGACCAGAAGATGTCGCCCGCAGCTGAATCATCCATCCATCCATGTTCCAAACCGCTGCTCCAGCGTAATATCATACAGGTATACATTCCTTTTTAACTGATTATTAAATTGTTTAAGGTTTATACATGGTTTCCATGACAGAGATCAAGATAAATATTTTCATTACTACTGGAGCTGCCAGTTTGCTAAGTTCTAAATGATTATTAAACAGCAACAAACTATGCAAAAGCGGCAGCCCTTCCGTTTTCATTCACTCTTTCAAGTGTACTATATAGTGGACCAATGTAGGGAATAGTGAATGAGGGTATAGGGTGCGATTTCAAACACAGCCCTAGTTTGGCATGGTCATTGATTGTTTTGTTCACCTGTTTCTTGTTCAGTTTGTTTTCTCCTGTGTATTTAAGCCCTCAGTTTAGTTCTACTCACTGTCCAGTGTTGTCTTTGTGTTTAAGCCAAAGCTGTTGTTTGTCTACTCCTGCCATTTGGATTATATCATTTGTTTTTGGTTTATTATTAAAGTTAGATGGCTATGATTATATCCACCATCTCCTCTTCCTAGGCCTGACAGGTCGTGACAAAATATACATTTTTAGAAAAATAAATAAATCACACAAAACTGTATTCAGACACAACCCATAATGTAACAAAAATAACACAACAGCACACTCACCCCCGCTTTCAGACGAGGCTTAAGCTAGTTCAAGACTAAAATGCATGTTTGAGCTGTTTTAACTGAAAACGACATGCACTGAGATATCAAAAAAAAAAAAAAAAATTGTCTCAAGATGCACACTAATGTTTTTTTCTAAAGGCACGTTTATAAAAGCTACTTAAATGTCCTAATTGAACTAAAGCCTAATCCTGGTTTAATCTAAGCCCTGTTTGTGAAACCAGGCCATAATATTTATTTTAACCACCTGTGGCCAAACATTATTTTATGAAATTTAAGCATCATTTGTTAATTATCATAATGTGAGAATACCAAGTCAGAATACAAATAAGACAAATTCACTTAATGAGGCTGAGTGTGAAGTTTATTCAAGTAATTTTCATTTCATACATAAAATGTGTTGCAGTAATATGAGTATCTGTATATAAATATCTACTTAGAATACACAACTAAAGCATCCCTCTAGCACACACACAAAAAAGCACGTTTCAGGTAAAAAAAAACCCAGCAACAACAGTGTGGATCAACATCTGAAGGTTTCATTTTTATATTTGATCAGTCTGAGAGAATGATGCTTAATGATTTGGGGAATGTGTGGTATCAAACTGTGGCGGATTCTGGAAAAATAACCAACGTTTTATCCAGTTTTTAGGAGGAATCCAGCACAGACCCTGGACAGCATCCAGCACAGACCCTGGACACTTATAAAAACATTGTTTTTGCTTAATAAATTCAAAGCAACAAAACAAAAAACAAAAAAAATTAATGATGCAATTCACTTTAAAACTGTATTTATGCCTCAGGTTTTTATATTGTATGGCATAGTCAACACTAAAATGCCCTGCTGATTATTGGCTCTCACAAACAGGAAAGTGCCCCATGACCGCCGTCCATTTATCTGTTCACTTTGTCGCAGGTTTTTATCATCAAAATTCATTTCTGATGATCATTTCCTATTCCTTGGTATTATTTTGTAGATTCTTAATACCTGAAATAAACCAAAAACATGAATACGTGACATTTAACTAGATGCAGTTGCCCTATTCATTCAAAATACTTAAGGTATACTCACTGCGAAATATGACATCCTGAAACATAAGCGTAGTTTCCGGTGTAACGTACATCACAGCGCACAATATTGTTACTGTAGTCCGACTCTGGCACCTGGTAACTGGGATTTACACTAACCTAAACCAGAAAGGGAAAAAAAGGCTGGAACTCAGGAACAAGATATTTCTTGAATACAATAACTCTTAATTTGATTAAGGCCATAAACCTTGAGGATGTAGTTTCCAGGTTTCACATCGGTAATATCTATCCATTGGCAGTCGATGTCGGCATTGTAAGTGTCGTAACACCCTGGACTCAGACCCTGGACCAACAACAACAGTATACTTTCAGCACACAGACATGTAAAATGGTAAAGGTATGTTATTTGGGTTGCACTTTATTTTACAGTACGCGGTACTAGGTAAATATAGTTTAATATAGGCAATATAAGGTAACTATATGAGTTACGGTTAGGTTTAAGGGTTGGTTCAGGGTTAGTGCATAGTTATTATACAGTTATTGTAATCACTATAATAAGTACATAGTATGTACATGTGGAACAGGACTGTAAAATAAAGTGCTACCGCTATTTGATGTACCTTGAAGTATAATGGAAAAACCAAGATATGATATTTATACAGCATCATGGTATTTTACAAAGTACCATGGTGTTACCATATCATGCCATCACTGGACCCTATAGTAAGGTTAAAGAATCGAAAAACGACCTGAAACTGAAGTTGCGATAGTCTTTTCTTCTCTATTATGATGTATATCTGATATTTGATTTCATGGTGACTATAATGTATTAGGTGTGTTTGCGACATAAACACTTACAAATGGCAGTCAGAATAATTACACATTGACTTGTATTCTTTATAAACACGGTGATCCCAGAGTGCATTGTAAATCCATCCAAGATGGTGGACAATGCAGTAAACATATGAACATATCTACTTAAAATGTCTTCAGTGCTAAAAAGTCTCACAAAATTTTTTATCTTAACAAAAATGGGATATTTTACCAAATATTTGTGTTTTATCTATTGTTTATGTTTATTGGAGGAGTGTTGTTAGCTTAGCAACATGCTAACCCCAAAGTCTTTTGAAATCAATTGTGAGTGAGTCTGCTGTGCTTTCCATGAGAATAACTATTTTTATAATTTATAGAGTTACTACCAAAACTGAGTGCTCCAAATCCATCACATATGAGGTTTCACTTCAGTCATAGAAATATAATATATACATAAATAATTACTTTAAAGTTACCATGATATCAAAATGGACAATTCTTATTTTTCATCGAATATTGCAGTATTTATTATAAACGATGTATTCGTGCACATCATTATTTTTCATGTGCCTCGTAATCTTTAATCAAAATATCTTCCCCTCCCTCTTGCATCTCATCTCTTCTCTTCTCTGATGATGTGTTTACTGGCGTGAGGGCGGAGCAACCTATCACTCACTTGAGATCGACCAATAGCAAACCACAACCATCCAATCAATTCCAGGTGGACAAAATCAAGTCCCGCCCCACTTTTTTTCTTGTTCCAGAAACTGAATATATGTCATGAAGAAAAGACTATCGCAACTTTCGTTTCATGCCGACTTTAATAAATGAGTGT